AATTTCAGCTGGTTTCCTTAAATCCATATGGAAGAATAAACTGAATCTCCATGACGATTCTCGCTTTGTACATATCCACAGGGTGAAACTATTTATATACATATATATCACGTGACTCTATGGATTTTAGGATATATGACACGACCATATGAAAACGAAATTGTTCACTATTTTTAGATTATTCGTACAACTCATCTACTTCGGGTACATTTAAAGGGTCATAAAAGTTTCAAGTCTCCCGTAATAAGCTCAAGCAAAATAATGAAGACCTTCTGTGCCATTTAGAAAGCGCGAATATCCAACTGAGCATTTGCATAAATCCACAGATAAGTTTCAGATATTTCCTAACTGAAACATGATCACGACTAGCTTTGTCTTCGATCAATGAGAACGAAAGGCTTCCATAAATCAGTAATCGAATACATTGGAAACGGGACTACAAGGACCTCGAAACAGAAATACGCTCAACATTTGGTTAGTTGTACGAAGTAACCAATTTATCATCAACGTACCGTCAAAGTAGTGGGAGTGAATTTAGGTCCTCTTCTAGTTTGTCTTCTAAAGCTAAAAGCAATGCTAATTTTGTGTGCAAGACGTACAGTTTGCCCTCAAAAGAAACATCTAGGAACAGGTTGGTAATACAAGTAGGGGAAATCTATTGGGCAAATCCTGGCTGATATCCTCCTGCCAATATTAGAAAACCATCTGGAAGAGGAACTGAATACAACTCTAATATATGGACCATATGTTGACGATACACTAGAAATGTACTGTTGAGGACCGACTTTTCTTAATTTGGATGAACGATTGCAATCGAAGAATGAAAATGAAGATGCGATGCAAGAGAATCAACCTCTCTCCCTCACCTCAAACACACACATGAGGTAGTAACAAACGTGACCGGTATATTTCAAACAAAAATGCCCCATATTAGTTATAACAAACAGCGCTACCTCGTCAAGGTAAAGTATTTCCGGTAGATGCCATATGCACAGGGACGCTGGCACAAATATCAGTGATCAACAGTCGAGTGTTACTACAGACGAGCTGACCGATATACATTTGCTAATAACCTATGGTTTGTCGTGAAACTGGTTGAAAGATAGTGCTAACTGCTGCACTAGAATTGGACTACTCCACAAATGGCAAACGAAAGATTGACGTTCATTTGGATTAACAACTGTTACTTTCAACAAGGGTTTGCTAGCTGGCTGACGAACCGTGAATAACTGACTGATTAAATGAACTAATAAGAAAGAGAATCGAAAGCTAATTTGACATCCGAGAACCGTTTCTATCTTTACCACGGTTTTACACAACCGTAGTGTATCACCTTAATAGACACAGGAAAAAACGGGCATGATGAATATTCAAGAAAAACTGAGGCGAACACACGAGGCCTTATTTAAAACTAACCAAAAACGCCAATGCAGAAAATTCAGGAATTCAGCCACAACTTCAATGAACTCTATATGGAAATTTGGATTGGTTCGTTAAGGCGAATATACAAATAGGTCAGGTCAATTAAGAATGACAACAAAGATCAAAAATCAATAAAAGAATGATCACAAATAGGTCACAACCATAATAGGAGAGAAAGCGACAACAAATGCATGGATGCATGATGGTGTGTGGGTGTATAGTTGTCGTTAGACGCAGGTCATTTGAATTCGGACTAACGAGAGAACAGGTCGATTTCGAAATCAAGAAGGAAAAAAGGATATCTAATGACTCTGATGATCATCGGGGCTATGCGTTCCAGTTGCACGTAAATGAAGGAGCATTAAGATGGGGAGATCTAAACGTAGGGTACAAAGGCCAGAAAAGTTCTCTGTAAATAATTAGCGAAAACGTTTTGCGAACTCTCACAGAAAAAGTTAACGAGAAATCCCCAATTCACCGCTCAGTTCAAAACGAAGGAATTGTTCTACATAAAAAGCAAACTAGACCACTTCGGAGTACGCCAGGGGTTACCGATGAACGAAAAGAAAAGCGTTTAAAGATAAATACGTTTCAAAACGATATGAAGAAAGGTGCAAAGGAAGAGTTGAAAAGATCCAGGGAATATCATGGTGGCTTATTGTGAACTCTTAATACGGAGGAATCGGCGTCATCAACAGTGTCCGATTTAATACTCTGTCGGTGTTCGAACACCACTATCTACACGGTGTTGCACGAATCTGATGGGCAAAACGGACGAGCAATGCTGAAGTTAGGATGCAGAGTTCTAGGTTATCGCGGTCGCCCACTGGACCAAGTGATCGACCTCCACGGATGGCGTTGGCTGGAGTAAAGTAAAGAGTGATCAAACTAAAGCCTGACATGATAATATGAGAACGCTGATCGCGAGACTTGCTCACATACATCGCGTTGGGTTGTCTGGACGGGGACTTCGGGATCTTTGTAATCAATGGTTAGATACACCGAGCAATATGGCTGTGACGTAAAAGGGTGGAAGGTGGAAGAAATCAAGAAGTATCGAAGAGGTACGAAGAGATTGAGCGCTTTTATGTTGCCTTCGTTTTTCATCTTATACGTTTCTCTATAAGATTTACTAGGATCAACTGCACACTCCCCAACTTATCAAATGTAAACTGTACCTCTGACTAAACTGACGACATGAACTGTGATAGTCAACGCACGTTAAAATGATGAAAGGAAAGATCGAACTAGTTTTGGTTATTCTCAATAATTAAACAAAACTTTCCAAGAAGGGAGTTGTACGGTGATGCTAAAATGTATGGTACAAAACTTCAGGGTTAACTGGAGTCTGACATTGCCTCGACAACCTGAGATCCCATGGAGTAACGCATTAGAACGATTATTTCTCTGGCAATTCCAAAACGTATACCATTAATGTAAATTTAAAATGTCAGTGCAAAATGGATGAAGGTTTTTCACGAATAGACGCAACATTTTCTCGGGGGCACATTGAAACCTGTTTGTGAATATCAAAGAAAGGAATACGTTTAAAGAGCATTATGATAAACGATTGCAACGCTATTGAGTATGCTGTGAGATACTACTCACATTTGAGTAGTATTTAAAATAGTGCGGTTTGCGGTTTCCTTCAATGATCAAAAATTAACAAGACCACTGAGGGCGAATTGCTATACCCCAAATATTAACTACGGACTGCTCCATTCATAACCCGATGTGCTCCCGGGTATTGCGATGACATGATTCAAATGAGATATCTGTTATATGTATGGCGAATTATCGATATCTCAACTGTATTCTGTAATAATCAACGATCCTCGTTCAAGCACCTCCTTGTGGAATTATGACAAATAAACTGAATTAAGATACACAATCAACACGAAAAATTTGCTCTGACTCTAACCAAAAAGAACAATATTATTTTTTATCCTAACCGCTATTTCTCGGTGGAAAGATAAGTGAGGATTTATGAAGGATATGACAAAGAAAAATGATTAAAACAAATTTAGCGGACTCTACTGATTATGAAATCTAATAACTCAACTCCTGTCCCATTTTTCAGGAGTCTGGTGCTATTTAGCTTAATGTCCGAGGTTGACATCAACTAGAGTAAAGGAAGTGAACATATGAAACGCATACCATTTAAAATACAGATAAGCACGTTTAAAACGCCAGCAGACATATCACAAATGGAAAAAGATAAACAGCAGGGATAAAAGGAATCATTCACCAAACCACTGATACAATTTTATCACTGTTCGGACAAAATATGCGCAACGAAAAGAGAATCCGTTGCCCAAACAGTGCAAGCGTTTACTGGAAATGTTTTTTTAATCGTAACAGAAACAAAGGAAGTTGGAATCCATAAAGTTTCGCGTTTAGATCAGCCGCAGAGAACGAATTACGCATAAAATCTTTCAGACTTCCTGTGTGACTGATTCAGTAAGTTATCGAATTGTTTTCCAAACAAGATTGATGTCATGTGTGAAGCTGAAAAACAGCTCCGTTTTTCTGATCACTAAAATAACTTGAACAAAAATGCACTCATTGTGATAAGCGCAGTGTGTATTGATTTCTTGAAGAGTAAACGGAAGAATGACAGCAAGAAAAGCTGTATGTTAATGCTTTTGATCGGGCCATACGAAATGGCGATTCCAGCATAAGAAGCGAGTGAAGTTTAAAAAAGTGATTTTGGATATTTCAAAACGACTGCATCCAAGAAATAATTATAAGTACCAATAGAACAGAAAAATCTCTGCTTCATAAAAACCCAATTTTCAAGGTTTAATTGTTTTTAGGGGGAGATAACTCGAAGTTGCAACCGAGCACATTTTAATTAGACTAAATCTTCAGAATGGAAGAACAATTCAATCTAGGCTTATCTTGCGAGAGAACTGCGTGATGCAGGAAACACTATAGAGAAGTACAGTGCCCTGAAATTCAAATATAACAATTTGTATGCAGTCCGGTCTTTTGGTTTGTTAACGGATGAAAGCATTACAGCCACGGAAAACGAAAACCTAATGATAACTTAAATGCATTCGACAGTTATTGGGGTGCATTAATAATATCAAACTTACAATCATCTCGGTCAGTTGATATGGATGAAAGCGAAGATGTATATTGTTGCATGTACACACGACGATCGATTTTTACACTAGATCGTCTCTTGTCACGACTTTTATAGCTAGAAGCACTATCACTATCTGCCAAACTGCTCACAGGCATCAGGCGAGTCATAAACGGAGCCGCTTTACACGCTTCTTGAACCGACGATCCTGGATCACCATCTTCCCGGTTCAGGTCAGTGAGGGTCACCTGACTGGAGTTCAGCATCGATTAATTCCAAAACTGGGAATTATAGAGCCAAAATAATATGAGGATTTGTTACTATCGCCTGCACTAGTAACAGCAAATATAGTCTACGTGATCCGACACAAGGTTTCCAACACAGGAATTAAAAAGGAGTGAAGTTAGTGTTGACGAAGTGAACAAAGCTTGGATTTTTCAATGTATATGTGTGCGGACGAAGTAGCCCAAATTGGGAAGCCTGCTGGAAGTCAAAGTATTGCGATGGATATTGAAGCAGTCCGAAAGAGAGGAAACTGCACAGATAGACAGGCCGGTTCAGAGTAGGATAGACATGAACGGACAGACATTGGGAATATACCATTCATCGAAAGAATAAAGACAGGGGTCAGACTGAGGAGTAGGGCAGACAGGTCACATGGTATTGAAGGAAACTAAAGTCAAACGTTGATTGGATGGTGATCGTGAGGTAGAGTGGGAATTCTCCTATCGTGAGACAGAGGGAAAACTAAGGTCTTTGCCAGCCAAGGGGGAAATTCAAAGTAAAACGAATGAGCTACACACTAGGACGGGAAGGTAGTCTCATTAAATGCACAGGCTCTAAATAGGTATATAAGTTGGCAAACAACTAAATGAATTAAAAACATACTTGTGATAAGTGTTTTGTGCTCACTAGGAATAGCAATCCAGTGGGAAAAATAATTATGTTCTCCGGCAAATAAATTAATGAGAACAATAAAAACGGATAACGATTTTGATGAAAAAACGGATAACTTGTGCTTGTCTCTGTGATCTTATAAAAAATGTTCTCTCACAAACAAACGAAAGGGTTTTTCACTACTTTTGGATTGAGTGAATTAGCTTCTCTCAACTGAAACCACAAGTAATCTGAGCACAGTAAATCTTGTACTCGTTTTTCGAGCGTCGACTGAAGTGAGTACAGCTCCTTATTCGGTGAGTTTTATTTCACTATGGTGAACGCACGCCTGAAAGTAGTTGATACTGTTTAGACCCAGAACGTGTTATTTCCTTTCAATACTCTCAAATTTTGTAGTATTTTATAGTTTGAATACAACTCGAGAGGATTAGCCTCCCGCCTTCATCGCAACGTGCATTGTGATGCTATTTGGTGAGAAGATTAACCTCACATCGATTGACTTCAACGTGCTTTGGACTTTTGAAGTCATGTTATTTATTCTTTTTATCTTCCAGCAAGCTTCGTTCTGTCACAGAAGGGGGAGGATGTAATGAAGTTTTATTACCAAAACATTATTTATTTATTTATATGATCAAACGAAGTCATAATCAGAGGTGGATAGTGTAGTCTTGCCTTGCCTCGCTCACCTCCATCCCTGGGCTTCAGTATTTACTTAAAGGAAAACCTAAAATATGCAAGATAACAATGGACAAACACTTGAAATAAAATGCTTAACGTATACGGTAGTGAATTTTGGGGGCAGGGAAACAGGTGGCATACGCAGCGCTAACCCATAAAATAAGATGTCAGGTCTGGCACAATTTCCAAATGAAAGAAACATCCCGGAGGAGAGGAGTTAACTTTCATTTGAAGAATTCCCACCTGAATATAGTACCACTATCTCAAATTGTAAACTCTTGTGAGCGATTTCATCAATGAAAAGGAAACACAAGATCGGTGATAAAGAGAATGAAGAGAACATGGAAAAAGCTCATCGTAAGACAAATATGGCCAACCTTCCCCCATTCACATCTATTTATTTTGCAATCCATTCTCAAACCCCCTATAAACACTGCAATTGTGTGCAGTATGTACCACTTGAGATGCAGCGAAATCGTCCAGGACAAAAACCGTGAAATGTTGGTATGCTAGCTTCTCTAAATACGGCGACCTCATAACTGTACCGCTTTTTGCAAGAAACCAATGCGAAGGACATGTGCTTTTTATTCTTAAAATGTTAGGTGAAGTAAAATTGGGGAAGGTTGTTCGTTAAAAGACCCACACTGAATATGATCCCATGAGGCATAAAGAAGGCATGGAACTCTTTAATTTAAAGACTAAGACGTAAACTAGACAGACATTATATTTTTCGCATTGATGACAACTGAGGAATGTGAGATAGAACAGTTTACATCTTCAATGTACCTTACTCCTTCAGGCTCGTGAATGTAAAGACATTAAAATACTCGTGAGTTTCTAAACAAAACAGCAAATTTAAGGATATTCCGAAAGAAGAACTACTCCTATTTCTGTGGGAGAGAGAAAACACGCATGCACCCAGTGTTCGCAAAGATCTTGCAAGAAGTTAACCTATTATGATAAGAGGAAGTCTAAAGAAGCGTATTACAACATCAGCACTTTACTGACTGAGGTATTTTCACAATTAACGATGGAGTGGGAGATAATGGGCTTCCGCCTATTGAAGTTCCAGTCATGGTGTTATCTCCACCCCAGAAATTTAGTACCATCAAATCAGGGTCCGACTTTATTGATTGCGAACAACAAGAGCCTTGAGTTTACCAAATCATTAAGTTCACACCGCAGTATGATAATCTTAACCAGAACATAACAACTAATTTTCCACATCCCGTTCAAAGAATGAATAAACTAGTTGAGATTAGTTCATGATAATACATAAATCGGTGAAAAAGCGAAACAACTGGACACTTGTAACAATTATCCAATTCAGTTCAGTTCCGCTTGTACAAACAATTACCATGCACATTCGTGCACCGGTTTCGGTTACTGTCTTTTGGCTGACCATTTGGATCAAAGAGTAGAGGAATGAACGAAACGTTGAAAGTCGAATAGAAAAGAAAATGGAGAATTGAAGTGGACTATAGCTGCAAAGAAACTAGGAAGATGCACAGGCGTTACTGTTTACGTCACAGCCATATTGCTCGGTGTATCTAACCATTGATTACAAAGATCCCGAAGTCCCCGTCCAAACAACCCAACGCGATGTATGTGAGCAAGTCTCGCGATCAGCGTTCTCATATTATCATGTCAGGCTTTAGTTTGATCACTCTTTACTTTACTCCAGCCAACGCCATCCGTGGAGGTCGATCACTTGGTCCAGTGGGCGACCGCGATAACCTAGAACTCTGCATCCTAACTTCAGCATTGCTCGTCCGTTTTGCCCATCAGATTTGTGCAACACTCTGTTCGAACACCGACAGTCAATCTGTATTCTGTTATTCTAATGGCCATGCCTCTGCGCCGTATTGCAGAAATGGCCGAACTGCTGCAGCAAACAATCGATCCTCCACTGACAGCCGGATGTCGCAACGGCACCACAGATGTCCCACTTTGGCAAATGCCAACCGAGTCTTCTGTATGCGAACCGATACTTCATCCGCGGTGGGTCCACCGGGTGAGATATAGCTGCCCAAATAACAAAACTTGTCTACTTGCTCAATCACTTCCAGTTTGAGTGAGGTTGAGTTACACGAGGGTAGTGTTTTGGCAATGTTTCACTTTGAAGGTGCAAAACGTATGCCGGACATGACTAAACTAGTATTCAAACTATCCAGAAAACCGTTCGACTTACCTGGATCTTCACTTAGCAGTTCAGTGTCGTCTGCGTACTCCAGATCAGACCGTTTGTCGTCTGAAGGCAACTGGAAGCCACTGTCCTAGCACGAGGTCAAGGCTTTCACAAGATTCAAATCTATAACGAAGTTAAATAGAAAATAAAGGAGAAAGCAACCCTGACTAATACCACTTTATGTGGCAAACTCAATAGAAAGGTGCCACAAGCTCGTGATCGGCTTCGGTTATTGATATAAAGGGATCGTAATATTCAGTTAATCTTCTCAAGTACATCTCTCAGGACGAGGCTGCGCCAGAGTTTATAGCGATCAACTGAGTCGAAAGCCACTTTCAAATGGAGGAAGATAGAAATGGTGAGTCCATGAAAAGAATGTTGGCGTTCCGGAATTCGATGAAGGATGAAAATATGCTCGATACAACCTCACGCGCGGCAGTTAATCGACAGAGTATTGAACCAGACAATGTCGATGCCGCCGATTCCTTCGTACTACGAGTTCACAATAGGCCACTACAATATTCCCCGGAGCTTTTACTTTGTATAAACATTGTAGTAACAGATTACCGGATTTCGTCACGAGTGAATTGCTTTATTGGTCGACCGAGACAACTGAATGCAAGATTTCAGGCCTATTATTTCTCACCAAGCTGGTAGTGTCACGACCTCTTCTCAAATTTGCTATGGAATCAATTTTGCATGCAGTTCAGTTCGGTTTTGCAAACATTAACCACGCACTTTCGCGCGATGGTTTTCGTTACCGTCTTTTCTCTTCCCATTTAGATGCAAAAATCAAAGAAATATTGGGATCTTAAGGTAAATCGAATTAATGAAGATCAAGGTTGCAAGGGCATTGAGTGCCACTGTTAACAACACTTATCCATACGACTCAGTGTCTGGAAACCGCAATTTCGCATACTCGCGCATAAATTTAACCCAGAGATACAGTGACACAAATAGATACTTTCTTAACTGACATAAATGCGATGGAATGAGGGGATTACTAACAGTGCTTTCACCTTACTCTAGCTCGCTGTAGACCGATGACATGAATGAGGCCCATTACGAACTAGACATTGCGCAAAAACATCGCAAAGTTCGGCACTATGTATGCTTTCCGGCTCCCATTGTCTTATTCAATTAAGAAATTCAAAACACCACGCACCCAGAAAACGTAAACGCAGGATAAAGGGTATGGGTGGGTGGCATAATGGAGCAGTCCCGAACTACCATCGTGACTTGAAAACTTAGACTGACGAAATTGCAGTGGAGAGATAGGTAGGAATAAGGGGTAACAATGAATACCCTCCCCCCTACGGTTATCCAAAATGACTTCGATAAACTTATTTTTGTGATGACGATTCCAATACAAGTTAAATAGATTGAGAGTAGCTACAATTATTGAGTTAAATCAATCGGAGAAGAATGTGCACAAATACCAATTAAAATTATTACGAACGCTTTGTGTCCTTATTGTACTATTAGTTGAGGCTGGACCGCAAT